CGGCTGGGGGCTGCCAGCCACCCTGCCAGCATGTGTGTCTCACACAAGCTTACAGGCCAGAAGGGACCTGGGTGAACATCCAGTCCGACCCCCTGCACACTGCACTGCAGGCTACAGAACCTCACCCAGCTATTCCTGTAACAGGCCCCAACCTCTGGCCGAGTTCCTGACATCCCCAAATCCTGGGTTTCGAGACGGAGGATCCACCATGTACACTAGTGTAGCCCGCCCCAGGCTGCAGAGGAGGTTCAAAATCCCGAGGCCTCTGCCAATCTGACCCAGGGGAACATTCCTTCCTGACCCCAAATACAGAGATCCGTTGGACCCTGAAGCATGTGGGTGAGACCTTGCAGCCGGACACCTGGGAAAGAATTCTCTGTAGCGACTCAGAGCCTTCCCCCGGGTGTCCTATCACCGGCGGCTGCAGAAATTTGCAGCCTGTTCCTGCTTCCCCTCCCGCGGCACGACAGGGGAAGGCTGGGCCGGCGACGCCCACTGGCTTTACGGCTCTTGGGAGGGGGGAGGAGGCAGCGTTACAGGCCCTTTATGCTGCTTTAACTTGTGCGGATAACCTGCCCCAAGATCAGGTGGGCTGATCAGGTGGGCTGAACCATTCCCACCCAGCCTGGCTAATAGTCAATGATGGACCTAATCTAACTCTTTTTTGAACCCTGTTAAAGTCCCGGTCTTCACCACATCCTCTGGCAAGGAGTTCCACAGGTTGACTGTGCGCTGTGTGAAGACATACTACCTTCTGTTTGTTTTAAACCCACTGACTATTCATTTCATTTGGTGACCCCAACTTCTTATGTTATGGGAACAAGCAAATAACTTTTCCTTATTCACTTTCTCCAGACCTGTCATGATTTTAGAGACCTCTATCATATCCCCCCTTAGTCTCCTCTTTTCTAAGATGAAGAGTCCCAGTCTTTTTTCTCTCTCTTCAGATGGCAACTGTTCCAAACCTCTAATAATTTTTGTTGTCCTTTTCTGAACCTTTTCCAATGCCAAGATATCATTTTTGAGATGAGGCGATCACATCTATATTATCTTATCTATATACATCTATATTGACATTCAAGATGTGGGCGTACCATGGATTTATACAGATGTAATAAGATAGAGAGTAAGACAGAGGCTATCCCCTTTTTTAATGATTCCTAACTTTGTTTGCTCTAAGATCTCACTCGAGTGGTAATAGCTAAATTATTCCCCCTTATTTTGTACGTGGAGTTGGGATGATGTTTTCCAACGTGCATTACTTTGCATTTAATCAACTCTAAAATTCATTTGCCATTTTGTGGCCCAGCAAAGTTCCCTCTAATTTTTCCCATTCGTGTGCTGGCTAAATTTTATGATGTGCGCAAAGGCATGTGCTATTGTGCACCACCATAGAGATGCATTCTGCTGGCTGCTGCCGGCTGTGGGTGCTCTGCTAATCAACTTGGGAGCACTTGAATCTCTCCTGGGGGGCCACCAAAGCGCTCAGCTTACAGGGAACACTGCTGCCCAGTCACCTTTGCCCCCACCTCCCAGGGCGGGTCTCTCTCGGCAGAGTTACTCCAGGGGCTTGGCACCTGGGTCCTTGCACCACGCCAGCCTTGCCCGGGGGCAAACAGCCAGCCTGCAAAGCCCTGCCTGTGGTGTTGGACCCTCTGGTGCGGTGCTTCCCCTGGCGTGTCCCAGGATGTCTTCACGGCGCCTCCCGTGTGCATGCTGGGCGCTGAGATGCGGGAGAGCGAGCCCTGCAGGGCACCCAGGGGCACTGTGGGAAGGCGACGGAGGACTAGCCGCACGAGCGATTTAGCTATGTCCTCCTCACACAGCTGGGGGAGCAAACGCAGCCCTCGAGCGCTAACCCACGCCCCCAGCCAGCCGAAAGCACCCGGAGCACAGGGGAGGGGCTCTGAGCTTTGCTCACGCGGGCAGGCCCTGGCGATCCATGGGGCGGCTTGTGGGAGGGGGGCGCTGAGCAGGGGG